CGCCGCCCCGAACCAAAAAGAAAATAACATATCCTACCCGCTTGGGGCCTAACCGCGTGGAAGTTACAGCTGAAACAGTGTCCGCTTGGAATATTCTTAACCCATGAAGACAGTGGGGTGTGAGAACAGTCTTTTTAGAGGCAGTAAAAATTTGGAATTCGGGGCGTGAATATTCCAAATGGGTTTTTACTGCCTCTAAAAAGACTGTTCTCACACCCCACTGTCTTCATGGGTTAAGAATATTCCAAGCGGACACTGTCTCAGCTGTAACTTCCACGCAGTTAGGCCCCAAGCGGGTAGGATATGTTATTTTTGTTTTGTTCGGGGCGGCTTTGCCGCCCTGAACCCAAGCATTACTGTCTACACACTCCACTATCCACATGGGTGATTTATTTGGAATAGAACTATGTATAATAGAAACATTGCACAAGTAACTAATTCATTTTTTAATTTGATTTTAAATTTCGTGCACTATTGGACCCAAGAATCGCTAAACGCATGCGCATTAAGTCACAGAGCATGAAAAGGCATACTCATAGCGCTTATATCGAGTCGGTATGACAGATTTCCTAACCTGAACGGTCGTGAACTTTAACGCTAAATATCTCGGTTCGCGGGGCAGAGCGACGCTTATTTCTGCCAGATTCGTTCGTTTCATGCAAAAACGCATCGAATGAGCCTAATTTCATTAAAATCGGTGAGGTCGGCCGTCATCTCCGTAATTACCTTTTTTTGACACCCTGTATATGATCAGACACGTGTGCATTGGTGCAATGTTTACATGGTTCTCTTCCTCTTCTTCTGCAATTATTAGCCCTGATCCTCATCGTCGAGGTAAACTTGTCGCTTCTCGGATCTTCTTCTTTTTTCTTCGGAATTGGATGAATCGTAGAATCGGAATGCAATGCACCGACCACTTCGAACCGGGCAGGTAGAATAAAAAGATGATACAATTAAAATGGAAATGGCTAGGCGTCCCCTCAGACACTGGACGCCTGCGACTACGACGTTTCTATGCCGCACGGATGCACGTCCAGACGAATGAAGAGACTGTCAGTATTGTAATGCAATTGCACAGTTGAAGCCGGCCAGGCGGCCACCACGCTTTTCAAAAATATAATCGAGGTGACGTAACATCCGAGACGAGAGGAGACACGTCCGACCCCCTCGAGTAGTCTCACGAGACTCATGTTTACATGGTTAATGCACCTGTTAAAGAAACGTCGACAATGGGTGCGTTCCACATAACGCTCGTAACGCTCAGATCGCTCTTCGTGCTATTCCACTTATCGTCCACGACGCCAGCGGACGCTATAAGTGAACAACTTCAGGTGATAAAAATGAACGCTCACAACGCCCGCACTAAGGAGGTGGGTCGGCGTGAGCGTTGACGTCACTAGTCATCATGGGTGCGTTTCATTTAACGCTCGCAACTCGCTTTAACGCTCACACTCAATGCCGAATATTACAATGGCAGAGATTACAATTGTATCCGTTGTACAGATATTGAAGAATTATTCTCCCCCCCCCTCCCCCAGTGAAAGTAGCTGTAGTTCTGATGAAGAATATGAGATTCTCTTACAAAAAAAAAAAGAAACGTCTCCATACTTATTTTATTTTATTTTATTTCTCCATACTTTATTTTTTATACTTTTATTTATTTTTATTTATTTATTT